TGGTCAGAATGTGTGGGTATCCTGTATACTTTTGTAGTGAAGTCACCGTTCTCTTTTCGTTCCACCATCACGTCCAGGAATGGGAGTTTTGTTGTTGTTTTAAATGCAGAGACTGCACAAAACACTACGTGGGACAAATAGGCAGACAACTAGCAACCCACATCCACGAACACCAGCTAGCAACTAAACAACAAGATCAGATATCCTTGGTTTCAATACACACAGACGAGAAAAACCACACTTTCAAGTGGGACAACACTACTATCATAGGACAAGCCAAACAGAGGACAGCCAGGAGCTTCTTGGACGCTTGGCATTCTGTGATGATTCCGCTTTCCATGAGGCTGCTTCTAACCTGTCTTCCATTCTCATCAACGGAGGATTCCCACCTCCATCGTGGCTGTCAAAGCCTTCAGCTGTAACTGACCCATTTCCCACATGTATCTGCTCACCCTTAATCTCCCTCCCAGAGAAACAAGTGTCCCTTTATGCTCACTTTCCACCATGAGCCTCTGCATTCACAGGACAATCCTCTGTCAATTCTCCGCCTTCAGCAGGATGCTACATCAACATATATTTTTCCCTCCCTCATCAGCGTTCCACAGGGACTCTTCCCTTCATGACACCCTGGTCCATTCGTCTATCACTCCTTGCACCTCTTCACTAAACACTTACCCTTTTACTTCCCTTCTTATTGTCCCAGGCCCAAACATACCTTTCAAGCAAAGCAGGTATTTATTTGTGCTTCTTTCAACTCAGTCTAGTATATTTACTGCTTACAATGCAGTCTTGTCTACATTCGTAAGACCAAATGTAAACTGACTAACCACTTTGTGGAATACCTTTGCTCTGATCAATGAGAATGACCCTCGTCTTCCCATAGCCCTTTCAAAAGAACGTCTTGTCTTCATGCTAACATTACTGTCATAGGCCTGCTGCGGTATTTCAGTGAAGCCCCATGAATGCTAGAGGAAAAGCACCAAATTTTTCCCTTCGGCAATTTACAACCTTCAGGACTCAACATTGAGTTAAACAACTTCAGAACATGAACACTATCCTCTACTTTAATTACATCCTTTGCCTCCTCCTCCTCTCCTCAAACCCCACACAAGTGCACAATCTGACCGATTTTCTGCTATTAATACATACCATTGAAACCTGTTCTTCATCTTTATCTTTCCTCTTCTATTAGCATTAGCACTCCCTTTGCTTTTTGCTCTCAGAACCCTTGCCACCCATTCCACTTGTATCCTTTTCCCCTTGATTTGATTTGATTTATTGTCACATGTATCTAAGCACAGTGAAAAGCTTTGTTTACAAGCAGTACAGGCATATTATAGTAAGCAGGGACGTACTGATCAAAGCGTGAAAAAAATCTAGACACAGGCATACAAGTTACATTGCATAGGACAAGCGCGAGGCAAGATCACCATTAGCAAGATCAACATTATTTGAAATTAGAGAGTTCATTCATCAGTCTAATAATGGCAGGGAAGAAGCTGTTCTTGTGCCTGCTGGTGCGTGTGTTCAAGCTTCTGTATCTTCTGCCTGATGGAAGAGGTTGTAGGAGAATATTGTCAGGTGCAATGGGTCTTTGATGATGGCAGCCTTTCCACAGCAACAGACCATGTAAATAGAGTCCATGGATGGAAGGTTGGCTTCCGTGATGGTCTGGGCTGTGCACACAACCTTCTGTAGTTTCTCAGAGTACTGTGCAGAGCAGTTGCCATACCACACTGTTGTGCACCACCCGGACAGTATGCTTTCAATGGTGCATCTGTAAAAGTTGATGAGGGACCTTGTGGACATGCCAAATTTCCTGAGCTGCCAAAGGAAGAAGAGGTGTTGTGCCTTCTTGACTGTCACATCTATGTGGGAAGCCCAGGACAGGTTGTCGGTTATCATCACTCCTAGGAACTTGACATTGTCCACCCTGTCAACTTCAGCACTGTTGATGTAGATAGGGATGTGTTCTCCTACTTTCTTTCTGAAGTCAATGATCAGTTCTTTAGTTTTGCCGATGTAGCGAGAGAGGTTGTTCTCATTGCACCACATCACCAAGCCCACTATCTCCTTTCGGTATTCTGACTTGTCATTGTTAGATATCCGTCCTAACACATTGATGTCATCAGCAAACTTGTAGATGGCGTTTGTTCAGAATTTGACAACACAGTCGTGGGTGTACAAGGAGTACAATAGGGAGCTGAGAACACATCCTTGAGAGGATCCAGTGTTGAGTGCCATCATGGAGGAGGTGCAGTTGTCTGACTTCATTGATTGCGGTCTGTGGGTCAGAAAGCTGAGGATCCAGTTGCAGAGGGCAGAGCAAAGACCTAGCCTCAATGTTTTGAGATCAGTCTGGAGGGCATAATGGTGGTGAAAGCAGAGCTGTAGTTGAAGAGCAGGAGTCTGATGTAGGTATCCTTGTTATCCAGAAGTTCCAGGCATGAGTGCAGGGCTAGGGAAATGGTGTCAGCTGCGGACCTGTTACGTCGGTAGGCAAATTGTAGAGGATCGAGGCAGACTGGGAGACTAGAGTTGATGTGGGCTATGACCAGCCTGTCAAAGCACTTTATGATTATGAAGGTCAGAGCCACTGGGCGGAAGTCATTAAGGCACATTGCATGTGCTTTCTTAAATATGAGGACGATGGTGAAGCAGATGGGGACTTCGGCTTTGTCAACAGCATTAAATTTCCAACCCCTTTCAGTTCTACAGTAATGTCATATTATTCATGAATTGTCAATTGTTTCTCTCTCCATAGATGTTGCCAGACCTGCTGAATTTCTCCAGCACTTGCTGTTTTAAGATGCATGCCATTCTGACTTAGAACTACATTGTTCTTTTATTTTTGAGCCAAAGCCCTGGAATGCCCTCCCGAACACTTTTCACTGTATTCCTGTACTTCTGAACTTGAGTACATGTGACAGTTAGAGGATATTCTAATTCTAATAGTACTGTGGGCATACCTATACCATGTGGATTTCAGCAGTTCAAGAAAATGGCTCGCTATTACAGGTTCAATGCCAAATGTGTTTACATTCCAATACTGAATGAAAGAAATTCCAAGGAACATTTGTTAAATTCAGGCCCAAGGCTGTAGGAAATGGCTGAAGAATGCAGGTATAGGGGGTCTAGTCAAATCATTTGTTTGATGTGTTTAAAGGATCAGGGAATTTTGTGGCTGGAAATAGAGGTATGAAACTGTAGGCTGAATGGCCTTTTTCCAGTCATATTACATTAACTTTCAGGTATACTATTAACTATAAGAGAGCTCTTAATGAGATCCACCTCAAAGAGTTTACAAATAATTAACAAATTTGTCTTCAGTTTAATTATTTTGTAAAACCTATGGATAGTCAATGTACTTTTTCACATTTGAAAAACAATTGTGTACAAATAAAGAGATAACAAGGTGTAGAGCTGGATGAACACAGCAGGCCAGGCAGCATCAGAGGAGCAGGAAGGCTGACGTTTCAGGCCTAGACCCTTCTTCAGACCC